TTTTTGTTTGTTTGTTTGTTTGTTTACGCACAGTGCGCGACTCCCTCAGCGCGCGCACTGCACACAGCGGACAGCACTGCGTACTGCGCACAGTGCGCGCGCTGTCGTTCCAGCGCACAGCGCAGTGCACACCGCCCCGCCCCGCACTGCGCACTGGTGCGCCGCAACTATGGTTCAAGTTGTCATTTTGGTCTAATTGCTGAAAATGCTGAATGCTGGATATGAGTCTGTTCGCTGTGATTCCTGAATATGTGTGTAACTGGCTGATAACGTATGAATGATATGTGTTTGCCTGCTGAAGTTCTGAGTCCAAGTCCTGCTGTGTGTGTTACCTAGCTCTGTTGTTCGTGTTGTGTGTTTGTGCCTCATACAGGGATGGGATAGAAAAAGGGGTACGTAGGTAGGACCAGTGGCAGGGCCGGGAGGTGGGCACTGACATCAGTGACGGCATAATCACACTTTGGTGGTAGTACTTTTTTTACGCGCGGAACGTGATTGCCATCAGATTCATCCGTATCTGGTTGTATTTGCAGTAAGATACAATCAGGAAAGTAAGAGCCTGAGTGTTCCGTGTTCATTTGCTCTTTTTTTCTGCTGTAGCCCACAGGGTCTCATTCATGCACGTGTTTCCACATGGACAGACATTCTTGAGGAAAACCAATAGCTCATTTTCCCTTTTTGGTTGACCCCACCAGATTCCTCCCCCATTGCACTACTGGGCCTTCTCCAAGCCCGCAAAACATAGGACTGAGCCACAAAAAATTATGAAGCTGGCTGTGGCCATGTCCTGGTGGTTAAAGATGGTTCCAAAATCCAGACTCTTGCTCTTCTTCTTCACACAGTCTTTAAAAAAAAAAAAAAAACAGAACAAAAAAAAAAAGAAACAACAACAACAACAGGACCTTAGGGGACTGGCTCTTCTTCTTCACACAGTCTTGTCATTCAATGCTATCGCTTTCTTCTTTAAAGGGTGTGGCCTTGAGATATCATCATCGAACTGACCGGCCCTAGGTAATTCACAATTGTAGTATTTTACTCATGGGCATCCAGTGGAATTCGAACTCAGGTCTGTATTACAACAGTTCAGGGGTGTACCAATTGAGCTAGATGTTGGTTCGGTTCATGACAAATATATGGGGCCAGATTTGGACTAGTTGAACCGAGCCTGGCGCACCCCGGTCCGGCCCTGTTGCCCACCTGAACAGGCGGGAATGCGAGAATGCATGTGCTCCTAATCTAATTGGCACAAACTTTGCCTTGGGTGTCACCCAAACTCCTTGATAGAACTGGGTCCTAATTAGACATCACATAGGGTGGGCATTCAACAACCCAGGCACGGGATGGGACAGCCAACTCGACTCACCTCCTGGATGACTCGTTTCTGCTCTTGCCGCCTCTGCGCTGCCGCAAGCTCTAAAACACATTGAAAAGGTAACAAAAATAAATCAATCTTCGCAACTCAAATTATTACGTAACAAGTCCAGGTGAAAGCAGAGGCATGAATTGGAAGCTCCAAAAACAGTGCAACACACAATGCGGCACATTACATATTGGCGCACACAATGTGACACGTAGACAGTCTTTCAGACACTGCCTTTCTGATAGCGACAGACACAGGGCCAGTTCAGCTACTCACCTGGGCCCGATGCAGTTAGGCACGCCCAAGTATGCCACGAGATTCCACGTGTTGGCTGCATTCTGATTGGCTCGTGGCCAGTGTGTGACAACACAGCTGCATTTTCATTGGTCCACGGTCGCTGTGCGACATGTAGGCCTCCGGGCTCTTGCTGTACATGCGCAGGGCCTTTCCCAATCGTGCCCTGGGGCCCGTTCGGTTGTAAGGCTCAACTCTGCCCAACGTGGCWCCACGTGTTTGCTGCATTCTGATTGGCCGGTAGGCCTCCTTCCACGTTGCTATCTGGAAGAGCCTAGAAGACTCRCGGCCTTGGTCACACATSCGGTGCGCTGTAACCCACWGGCGCGTGGTAACTGTCTGGCGCCCACCAGGGCTGGCAAATTTTGCAATATTCAGGCCTCTTTGAGGTACAGGGCCCGCCTTCACTTAGGGCGGGCTCAATGCTTGCAGCGGGAGCCTCATACGGGCATGTGCTGAGGACTCGTAGCAAATTCATTTTAATGGTTGGATGAATAGAATTGATTTGCTCCATTTTCACATTACTTTCCATGCCCGAAATATACAAAAAGACCTGTCACACAGGCATGGGTGTAAGCCAATCCTGCTGCTAACGGGACCTCCCTACCACTGCTTGCGCTATGCCTAGTAGTGTTCGATGAACAAAAGTCGACTTCTTTAGAAACTGAACCCCCTCGCCACCTTGGCGCAGACACGCACAGTGTGCGAAAGACAGGCAAATGTGAAGCAGGGTGTGCTAGACTATTCTGATAACTCACTCACCATCTTCATGGGACCGCAAGCTATCGCTTTCCCACTGGGCCCTTTGTTGTTCCCTGCGCATGTCATCAGATACCAGTCCCTTGTCATCATTGGAATCAGGTTCCCTCAGGCGAGTGGAACCTGTGCCTCTTTCCCTATCTTCCTCATCAGCATCCCAATCGCTTCTGCGTTGTGGCACTTGATCGTGCAGTCCTTTCCGGAAGAAATCCACACTGTACTTCTCCTCGCCCTCCTCATCTGAGACCTCCCCGCGCACTGTCAGCAACATCAATGTCAAAGCATGACAAAACCCATTTAGTTTTGAGAAAAGGGAAAGAAGAAAAACACTTCCCACTTACATTGCTCACATATCCCTACATCTTCTCCCTTCTCCCTCTTGAAGCTCCCCAACCAAACACCCCCCCCACCCTACCCCCCACCGCCCCCGCTGCCGGTATGCCGCCAAAAGCCGGTAAGCACCCAAACACACACACGACGTGTGAACGAGTGCATCCACAGACAGAGCAGGGAACTACAGAAAACCATGGTAAACAAGTACGTAATGAACCCGACCTCAGAAGCTTGCAATCCAATCATATGTGAGCTCTGAGTTTCCGGGAAAATGGAACGATAACAACCAGGTTGAGACAACAATGATGCCAGGACAAGAAGACTGTCGGAAGAAGAAGAGCGAGACCATGAAATAATCTTGGACCCTACAGACCTGTTCAGATGCCCAGTCTTGACTCGGACTTTGGAAGTATATATGTTTCCGCGCTGGATGTTGAACCCCGTGCATTGTGCAAGCAGTAGATGGGATGATATGTTTACAGTGAAAGAAAACTGACAACAAATCCAATCGAAGAGCATAAAACCGAGCATGCATTCATTGTCATACGTTTACATACCAGACTTCAATCACGACAGGGAAGGGACACACAGACAGGATGGAGAACCCACAAAACAAAGGCGACTTCACCTTCCTCCCACTGCTCGAACAAGAACACCGAAGTTGGGAGTACACCAAGTCTGTGGGGGTGGRAGGCATAAGTCCGCAGCATCAAGAGGGGTAGCCGATAGAGAGGAGAGCCAAATATGGAAGCAAACAGTAGGAAGGTGGGGCTCAAAATCAGATCCCTCCCAAAGCACAGACGAAATGCCTCGTCTACAGTGGCTGAKCCCCCAGGACTCCAGGAGCCTATGAAAAWTTCCTAGAAATCAAAGTCACAGCAGAAGGGGTTACCTATTTGCCTTGAGAATGGGTAAGAGCGCTGGTGCTCAACTCCTTGGTGTTTTCAATGGCCTGGTCAATACTTAATAATGGGCACCTCCACCCAAGCGTACAATGACAGTCGATCAACGGTCAGTGGAAATGATGAGGCTACAGCCATTCGACGCTGTACGGTTTGTGATACAATTGTTAAAGAGGTTGGGCGATAATTGCGCTAGGCGAAGAGCGTAGAACGCCGCCACACTCCCGCACAGAAGAGTGCAGAACTGGTAAAAAAAAAAGAGTTC